GCCAGAACCACCGAGCTAAATCCCCGGCCCTCCCCACTTTTTGGTTTTTTGAGAGAGGGTTTCACTTTGTAGTGCAGGTTGGCCTTGAATTCATGGCGATCTTCCTGCTCAGCATCCTGAGTACTGGGACTACAGGTGTATACCACCATGCCCAACTCCTAGCCTATTATTTCTATTCTTACCAATTTAAGGGCAGGTTAAAAGAAGCTGTCTACCTCAAAGGGTTGATATGAAGATCATATACGAATGTGTATGAAAAAACTCTGAACAATGAAGTACTATGAACATGAAGATAACTTAATAAAATGCTAATGTGTAACGAAGATCCACCTTCTTCATAGTATTTCGAAAGGAGTTACTGCATTGTATCACTAAAGACCAGCATTTTCAGGGAGAAAGGACATAAAGAAATAAAACTGATGAAGTCCGGTAAAATTCTGTAGCTCTGAAGACTGGCCACGTGTTGATAACTAGTTGAAGCCAATGAAAGCTCATATCAGCCTATTTGAAATGTTTGGAATTTTATATAAAAGATAAATTAAAAAAAAACCTCCTCAAAAATGAAGACTATAGGGCCAGGGATTTAGCTTAGTGGTTTCACCGCCTGGTGCGCAAGCGCAAGGACCTGAGTTCGATCCCTAGTACAAAAAAAAAAAAAAAAAAAAAAGACTGCATTCTTACTAGGTTTAGTTTACTTGATGCTTCATTTTCAAAAAATAGCTGAACCTATCAAATTTAGAAATTGCAAGATATACTGCTCAATGTAAATGCAATCTCCCCTATGAATTAAACTTACAATAGGCCACAATGAACTCAGCTCAGAGCTTCCAAGCTGTCTTTCTGGCCATGACCACAGGCACAAATGATTTAACTGAGTTATCATCTCAACCTGGCCTATTATTTCTATCCGTATCAATTTAAGGGTAGGTTAAAAGAAATAACCTTCTTAATTCTAAATCTGGCATTCAATATAGGAAGATAAAACTTGCTACCGAAAAACCCTGTCTATGACACGGTTCAAGTTGCAGCTGGTATTTTTCATGTAGCTGCATACATTTAACCTAACAATTAACAGAAATAATGAGTATTAGATATCGGGTTCTTCCATAGAAAACCCCATAACTCACCCAAGTTAGATTCCAGTCCTCCAGACTAAGCTTTCAAGGACCTTTGGTCATGATGCCCTAAACTCTCACTTCACTGCCTTTTCCCTTACTCGCTGATTACAGACACTGAGTGAAGACGAAGTACAAATAGAAAACAAAGAAAGTTCTGAGTTAGGCAATGACAAGAATGTATATATTCAACTGTAGGCAACCTGGTGAAGTCTTACCTGATTATGGTAAAGGTTTTTTGGCTATCCAGACAGAAAAAAAGCCCCAGTAGAACTGTTTAATCAGCAGCTGGGCATGGTCACGCACACCTGTAACCCCAGCACTTGGAAGGCTAAGGAAGGAGGACGGCTTTGAGTTCAAGGCCGGCCTGAACTACACAGTGAGACAGTGTCAAAAAACCCCAACAAACTGTTTAATCTGTGGAGGGAAAAACAAAATAAAACGAGACTCAGCCAGGCCTGGCAGGGCACAGCTGATCCCGATTATTTGGGAGACAGAGGCAGGAGGATCACAAGCTTGAGGCTAGCCTGATTTAACTTAGTGAGACTTCTCAAACAAAATTAAAAGGGCTGGGCTGGTGATGTAAAAGCATTTCACTAATAGCACTTAGTGGCAGAGTGCTTACTAGCATGTTTGAGGCCCTGGGTTAAATACCCAGCAATGTAAAAAAAAAAAAAAAAAAAAAAAAACAACAAAATCAACAAAATCCAAGCACTTGTAGGATACTTTATTTTCCTAAGGTTGATAGTTTGGTGTCAGACACCAGGAGGCAATCTCTTAGGTTGAACTCTATATTCAAAATATTTTTGAAATATTAAAAAAAATTTTTGTTTAGGGGCCAGGGATTTAGCTCAGTGGTTCCAGCATCTGGCTTGCAAGTGCAAGGTCCCGAGTTTGATCCCCGGTACCAAAAAAAAAAAAAAAAATTGTGCGTGTGTGTGTGCTGGGGATTGAACTCAGGACTTTGCACTTGCGAGGTAGGTGGTGGCACCACTGAGCTAAATTCCAGCCCTGAAATATTAAAATTTTAAAGGGCCAGGGATTTAGCTCAGTGGTGCTGCTGCCTGCCTCACAAGTGCAAGGTCCTGAGTTTGATCTCTGGAACCAAAAAAAAAAAAATTTAAAAATATTTTAAAAACAGATTTTTATAAAATTTTCTCCTGGAATGACTCAAATGCCAGCACAATATAGATGCTCAAAACTGACTAACTAAGCCTAGCGTGGTAGTGTACACCTGTAATCCCCATACTCTGAAAGGGTGAGCCCAGGGGATTCTAAATTTGAGCCAGCCTAAGCAATAAGTAACTTAATGAAATGCTGTCTCAAAATACAGAATAATCCAACATCTATTTATGATTAAAAAAAACCCCTCTGAAATGGAGAAAACTTGAAAGTTCCTCTAAAATTGGGAATAACACAAGGAAGTCCACTATATCGCTCCTGTTTAATATTGTACTTGGAACTTCAGCAAGAGCAATCAGGCAAGAGAAAGAAATAAAAGGAATATATACAGGAAAGGAAGAAGTCAAGCTATCCTTATTTGTGAATGACATGATCCTTTATATAGAGGGCCCCAAAATTCCAGCAAGACTACTAGATATAATAAACAAATTAAGTAGGCAGCAGGATATGAAAAAGCAACATACAAAAATCAACAGTGTTTCTGTACCCCAATAATGAACCCATTGAGAAAGAAATTAGGAAAACAATACTATTCATAATAGCTTCAAGAAAAATTAAATACCGCCAGGTGTGGTGGCACATGCCTATAATTCCAGAACTCAGGAGGCTGAGGCAGGAGGACTGCTGTGAGTTTGAGGCCAACCTGGGATACCCTGTCTCAAAAAAAACCCACCTGAGCAATTGGTCTAACAAAAGAAATGAAAGATCACTATAATGAAAAGTATAGTACTCTAAAAAAAGGAGGTGAAAGGCAATAGAAGAGAAGGATATCAGAAAATGGAAGATATTAACTTTTCCTGCATAGGCAGAACCAATATTGTCAAAACAGCCATACTTCCAAAACTGATACATAGATTTAATGAAATCCCAATCAAAATACGAACAGCCTTCCTCACAGAACTACAAAAAACAATCCTAAAATCATACAGAACCAGAAGAGACCCAGAATAGCAAAAATAATACTGGGAAACAAGAGCAAAGCAGGAGGCATCACAATTCCAGACTTCAAGTTATATTACAAAGCTACGGTGACAAAAACAGCATGGTACTGGCACAAAAACAGCCATGTGGATCAGTGGAACAGAATACAGAATTCAGAAACAAGCCTAGGCATTTAGTTATGTGATCTTTGACAAAGAGAACAAAAATATACACTGGAGGAAAGATAGCCTCTTCAAATGATGCTGGAAAAACTGGCTATCCACATGCAGAAGATTGAATTTAGACCCTCTATCTTTTAGCTTCTACTAAACTAAAATCAAAATGGATCAAAGATCTAAATGTTAAAATGAAAATCTGCTGGAAGATAAAATAAGTAAAATTCTTTCTGGATGTGGTCGTGCACATCATCATCCAGGAGGCTGAGGAAGGAGGATCACCATAAATTTGAGGTCAGCCTGGGCTACATAGTGAATTCAAGGCCAGCCTGAACTACATAGAGAGACCCTGTCTCAAAAAAAAAAAAAAAAAGTTAAAACTCTTGAAGACAGGCAACATGGGCAAGGACATTCTGAACAGAACCCAACTGCACAAGAAATAATATCAAGAATCAACAGATGGAATCATATAAAATTAAAAAGCTTTTGCATAGCAAAGGAAGCAACCAACAGAGTGAAGAGATATCTTATCGAATGGGAAAAAAATTTTGCCAGCTACACTTGGACAGAGGATTAACATCTAGAATAATATAAAGAGCTCAAAAAAATTAAATCCCTTGGGCCAGGGATTTAGCTCAGTGGTGCCACCACCTGTCTCAAAAGTGCAAGGTCTAGTATCAAAAAGAAAAAAAAAATCAAATAAGAACAAATGGTTGAACATGGTGTCACACACCTGTAATTCCAGCATTTGGGGGACTGAGGCAGAAGGATTTGCCTTGAGTTTGAGATCAGTCTGGGCTACAAAGTGAGTTCAAGGCCAGCCTGAACTACATAGCTCCTGTCTCAAAAAAAAAAAAAAAAAAAGTTGGAAAGGCTGTAGGGTAGAAATCAGTATGGAAATTCCTCAAAAACTAAAAATTGAAATTCCATTTAACCTAGCAATTCTACTTCTAGGTATCTTTCCAAAAGAGTTAAAGATATCGTATTACAATGATACATGCACACCCATGTTTACAGCATAATTCATAAAAGCTAAATCTTGGAAGTAAACTCTATGTCCATCAGATGAATGGATGACAAAACTGGGGGTATTTATACATAATAGGGTACTATTCTGCTATAAAGAAGCTTAAATCTGAGTCATTTGGATGAAAATGGAAATATCCTGAGACCATAACGTTAAGTGAAATATGTCAGACACAACAGTTTAATTTTTTGTTTTGTTTTTTGTTTTTCTGGTACCGGGGATCGAACTCGGGTCCTTGTGGCTTGCATAGCAGGCGGCTAAACCACTGAGCTAAATCGCCGGCCCAATTTTTTGTTTTTTTTAAAGAAAAATCTCACTCTGTACTTCAGGCTGGCCTTGAACTCATTATGTATTCCAGGCTGGCCTCAAAACTGTGGCAAAATTGCAGTGATGCCAGTGATGCCTCAGCCTCCCAGGTGCTGGGATTATAGGCATGTACCACCACACCCAACCAAAAGCTTAAATATTGAATAGTTTCTGTTATATGAGAAACCCAAAGTACAAATAGAGAGCAAAATAAAAGACAGACAATAGGAAACAAGGAGATAGACCTTTTTGGAAATGGGAAAGGGGACAAAAAAATGGAGGAAAAGGAGAGGAAGGGGATAAAAAGAATTAAGATACTTTATGTACAAGTAACAACTCCCTATGATGAATGCAATCCTTATGTAATGCAAATATGTCCAAATAAAAATTGAAACAAAACAAATAAACAAAAGAGCTGGGGATGTAGCTCAGTGCAAAGGCCCTGGGCTCAATCCCCAGTATGGCAAAGAAAAAAAAAAAGACTAAATATACATATAAATTCTTATAGTAGTATTCATACTGGGCTTCTGTTAAAAAGGGCTGGGAGGCAGGAATCTACTATTTATATAACAGCTAATTCCTTTAATTAAAGAACAAATTATCTTACTTGCTTCAGTTTTCACTTTGTCCATTTCAGCCAGCAATGCCACTTCTCGATCCATTAAACTGGAAAAAGATGACAAAGGAAAAAATTTTTAATCAGAAATTCCAACATATTCGATCCCCAGTACCAAAAAACAAAAAGAAATTCCAACGTAAAAATAGCACATTATTGGGCCTGGGATTTAGCTCAATGGTGCCGCTGCCTGCCTCCCAAGTGCAAGGTCCCAAGTTTGATCTCCGGTACCAAAACGAAATAATTAAAAATAGTACATTATTAAAAGTGAAAGAAGATTGGTGAATTTGTTCACTAAACACATACTACAAAGTAACGCTATGGATCACATGAAAATTCTGATGTCTTACTTTCAACATGGACTATTTTAGGGATTTCCAATAAAATTAGACCCAATTCCTCTTTATTGCTATGTATTACATAAACCAGTTGCTAGAAGTCCAAGAGTTGAGAACCAGTAGATGGCAGCAGCAAGCTACAAAATGTTTCTTAGTTTTGCTAAACCAAGTCCTTGTGAAAATTACTTTTCCACATAGGTAGTCACATACTTAGTACATTTTGGTTTCTAAAATTTGGCAATTTTGCTTATAATAAATTTTATCAGAAAATATCCCTGATAGGGTAGTGACGGTGAACTTTTTAGGGCTTTCAATAATAACAAAAAGCCAGCTGTGGCGTGGGTGCCATAGGTTCACCACCACTGTGCTAGGGCATATTTATCCATGATTAGGATTTGTGTATCTTCAACAGCTAATCATAGTTGCATCAAGTTAGAAAAGAGTCAAAGCTGATTTCTTCTTTTTTTTTTTACAAAGCTGATATCTGATAAACATTTAATATTCATCTGGAAAGAATGGAATCAGAAGTTGTTGGTAGGGTGTACAGAAAAACATTAAATGGGAAATCAGAACGTTTTCTAGTGCAAATGTAAATGATTTGTAGGTAAAGCTTTTTCTGTGTCCTTATAAAAAGGCCCACAATCTTCAATGCATACAAAGATAGCTGGCAACCTTAGTATGAATTCTCTGGATGCAAATAATTTTCCTGGGTGATGTGAGAAAAATATCTAAAAGTCTGATATCTATACAAACATGAAATATTTCCACTTTCTTTAAATTATGAGTTCATTCTGATTTCTCCTTTTGAATGGAACTATTATCACAGTGTTAACAAAAATCCACTCTTGCTTCTGGTTGTAAAAGCAATTATACACACATATTAACACCAATTCAATTTAGCTCAGTATGTAGTTATGTTAGTAGTAGTAAATACAAACACTACAGTATGAAACATACAAAAATACGTAAGGCAGGGTCATTTCCTCAAGGAGCAAAATTCTTTCTAGAGAAGTGCCAGAGAACACAGTATTGATAATCATTATGCATGGCATTAATAAAGACTTGTAATAAACAAATTTCACTGGTATGTTAATCCAAAAGCATCAGAATGGAGAAAAGACACAACTATTGTGGGGTAGCCATACTTTGCTAAGAAAGTATTCCCAAACCTTGCCAATATTTTGCTCCAAGAACTCTAGCAGCATTTGGAATACCTAAAAGGAAAAACAAAAGCACAACTGAGATAGGAGCTGCCAGGCCTACAGTTTTACATTACTTCTCTTCTGTTGCCAAGTCATTTGAAGATGTGTCCACCAGATGACAAATTCTTTGTCTCCGACAAAGCTTGTAAAATATTAAAAGACTTCAACAAATACACACTTAAGCTGTTTGCTGCTTACAATCTTTATTATTCTTTTTTTTTGGTACCGGGGATCAAACTCGGGTCCTTGCACTTGCGCAACAGGCGGCGAAACCACTGAGCTAAATCCCCGGCCCCTTACAATCTTTATTATAAAAAGTGGCATATCACATGAGCTGTTCAGCAAGTAAATTCTGTATAAATACAATCACATTTTTGTGACATATGAGCTAATTTGTTATGACTCTTTTTCCCTGTGAGAATGAAAAAGTAGCATCTATATCAAACTTGTGCTTCTTGACTGACTTATAAGTGATCACAAGAAACTCATAGGGCAGTGCGTAGGCAACATATGAGCCCTCCATTAAAAATAGTTTACATTTCTACACTAAAGATGAATCAAAGCAATAACCATTCTATTTCTGCTTGTCATGTTGCTATCTACCATGATGTTGGCCCAGCATTAAATAGAGGACCTCCTGGTTAACTGGGGGTGTTGGGATATTTTCTCTGTGAAAAGCTTGGTCAGTATTTATAATTTTCCACTACAATTTTCACAGGTCTTTAAAACACAAAAATGAAGGGCCAGGGATTTAGTTCAGTGGTTCTGTTGCCTGCCTCAAAAGCCCAAGGTTCCGAGTTCAATTTCAGATACCAAAAAGAAAAAAAAAGCTGGGGATTTGGCTCAGTGGTTCCATCATATGCCTCACAAGTGCAAGATCCTGAGTTCGATCCCCGGTACAAAAAAACCCCCACAAAAATGAATAAATGTTCAAATGTGATAATGACATTTTTTTGTTTTGTTCTACAGTACTGATGATTGAGCCCATGGCCTTTACAATGAGCTATATCCCCAGCTTTTTAAATTTTAAGACAGAGTCTTGCAAAGTCCCTAAATTTTCCAGGCTGAGTTTGAACTTGTGATCCTCCCAACTTCAGCCTACCAGAGTGCTGGGATTAAGGCAAGCACCATCATGCCTGGCTAAATGTAATAATAACTCTTAATAAAAAATATAACATTGCTGGGCATGGTGGCATATGTCTGTAATTCCAGCACTCAGGAGACTGAGGCGGGAGTATCACTTTGAGTTCAAGGCCAACCTGAAGTACACAGCAAGATCTTGTCTCAAAAACAAACAAACAAACAAACAACAACAACAAAAATATATATATTAGTGTACACCCGTAATTCCAGCTACTTGAGAGGCTGAGGCAGGAAGATCACAAGTTTGAAGCCAGCCTAGGCAACTTAGCAAGAACCTGCCTCAAAAATGAAAAAAATAGGGCCGGGGATTTAGCTCAGTGGTCCCGCTGCCTGCCTTGCAAGTGCAAAGACCCAAGTTCGATCCCCGGTACCAAAAAACAAACAAACAAACAAACAAAAAAATAGGGGCCAGGGATTTAGCACAGTGGTACTGTGCCTGCCTTGAAAGCCCAAGGTCCTGAGTTCAATCCCTGATACCAAAATGAAAAAAAAAAAAAAGAAAGAAAGAAAAAAATAAGAGGTGTGGGATATAGCTTAGAGGCCTCTAGGTTCAGTCTGCAGTACTTCAAGAAAAAAAAAAAAAGCATACTGAATTAATACTTTTGTGGTTGTATAGCAGTGCGACCTGTTATTACGGTTATTTGTTGTTGCTTGTTTTTTGTTTTTATTTTTTTGAGACAGGGTCTTGCTATGTAGTTCAGGCTGACTTTGAACTCACTATGTAGCCCAGGCTGGCTTTGAACTTGTGGCAATCCTCCTGCCTCAGCCTCCTGAGTGCTGGGATCACAGGGATGAGCCACCACAGCCAACCATTGTTTTGGTCTTTGAGACATGGTCTCACTATGTTGTTCAGGCCGGCCTTGACTCACTGCAATCCTCCTGTCTCAGCCTCCCAAGTGCTAAGATTATGGGTGTGCACCACCATTACAGGCTGGTCATCTGTACTAATAAAGCAAAGCATTCAGGGATGACACCTCATCATGTCTTCCAATTTCAAACTGTTCCACCAAAACACACACACACACACACACACACA